TTTCTTTCTCCAGCTTATTTTACAGATAAGGAAACTGAGGCAAACAGGGTTAAGTGACTTTCCCAGGGTCATACAGCTGGTAAGTGTCTGAGGTTTGATTTGAACTCATGAAGATGAGTCTTCCTGATTCCAAGCCCAGTGCTCTATCCACTGTGCCACCCAGCTGCCCCCAAAGAGATTTAGGAGAACAGATTTAGAGCTGGAAGGGACCTCAAGGGCTATCTAGCCCAATTCCCTCATTTAACAGTTGAGAAATGAGTCTGAGTGACTTTAAGTGACTTGCCCAAGGTTACACATGCAGTAATTGACAAAGCCAAGATTTTAATCTAGGGCATGACCTCCAGGTACAGGGAGAATGATAATCTCACTGCACTCTGCCCTTGTCAGACCTCATATGGAGTATTGTGTTGTCTTCTGGCCACAAGGTGTAGGAAGGACATTGATAAGATGGAGATCACCCAAAGGAGAGTAATCAGGATGGCGAAGGGCTTTGGGTTCATGGCATCTAAGGAAGGGGTGAAGAAATCGAGAATGTGTAACAAAGAGGAGAGTCAGGGGGACCTCATGCCTTCTCAAAGTATTTGAAGGGCTGTCACGCAAAGGGAGGTGAGACTTGTTCTGTTTGGCAGAAGGGAAGCAATTACTGGAAGTGACAAAAAGGCAGATTTAGGCTCCACATCAGGAAAAAACTTCCCAACACTGAGAGATGTCCAGACATGGAATGGCTCACCTTAGATGTGTGATAGGCTCCCCACTCCTGGAGGTCTTCATGCAGACACTGCATGACCAAGTTTGTCACATATGTGACAGTGGGTCTTCTTTTGTGATTGGATTGAACTACATGGCCACCAAGGTCCCCCCCCCCAACTCTAGTTCCATGATTCTGTTCTCTGACTCCAAATCCAGCACATCTCCTTCTCTCCCCTGGCACTACCACCACCCTGGTTCAGCCCCTCATCACCTCATGCCCGGACTGTCACAATAGCCTGCTACTGGGCCACCAGTGCATCCTCCACCCACCTGTCAAAGGGATCTTCCTAAAACACAGGCCTGACTACGTCACCTTCCCACTCAATAAACTCCAGTAGCTCCCTGTCATCTCCAGGATCTAATAATATAAACTACTGTTTAGCATTCACAGCCCTGCATTATCTGCCCCCATGCCTTTGCAGTCTGCTTCGTCCCCTCCACCTTCCCCACAATGCAGTGATACTGGCCTCTTTGCTGTTCCTCATACAAAACACTCCAGCCCTGTACTCTGGGCATCTTCTCTGTCTGTCCCCATGCCTGGAATGCCTTCCCTCTTCATCTCCACCTCCTGGCTGCCCTGGCTTCTTTCAAGTCCCTGCTAAAATTCCACGGTCCCCAGGAAACCTTTCCCAAACCCTCTTAATTCTAGTGCCTTCCCTCTGTAGATTATCATCAGTTTATCCTGTCTATAGCTTGTTTGTACTACATAGTGGGTTACATGTTGTCTCCCTCATTGGACTGTGGAGTCCTT